TACACTCTGGCCAATCATCCACAGTTACCCATTGTCCAATCATCAAGTTACACACTCTCCAATCATCCATAGCTATCTATTGCCAATCAGCCAGTTATCTATTGTCCAACAATTCAAAGTTATCTATTGTCCAACAATCCACAGTTACCCACTGTCCAATCATCCATAGCTATATATTTTCCAACAAGCCACAGTTGTCTATTGTCCAACAATCCACAGTTACCCATTGTCCAACAAGCCACAGTTACTCTCTGTCCAATCATCCACAGTTACCCACTCATAGGCGGATCCAGAGGGGTGTGTGTGTGTGCAGGGGTGCGCACCCCCCCTTTTGTCCTGTAAGTATATTAAATGACCATTGAAACTTGGGGGAAAATGAAGTGTGCACCCTGCTTTTCTCAATAGTGTGCACCCCCCTTTCTCAAAAAGCTGTGTCAGCCCCTGCACTGTCCAATCATCCATAGCTATCTATTGCCCAATCAGCCAGTTACCCATTGTCCAACAATCCACAGTTACCTTCTGTCCAATCATCCACAGCTACCCACTGTCCAACAATACACAGTTCCAATCCATTCCAAAGTCCTAGGAATGGGGAAGAAAAGTCTAATGAACAAAGTTCTGCTAATTTAAAATTTTCAGAACCTAACTGCTTGGTGTTATATTTTCTGCTTCAGGCTTCATTTGCATCTTTTGCTTAAATATATATACAGAAACACTATTCCATTAATCATTTTGTGCAAATATTTTTTAATCCAACACTCATGTACAATGAATATAAACACTGACACACAAACCTGGTGATATCTAGATGCAGTTCTTGTTATGATAATATTCCTTTATCATTTATTAGGATAAAGAGTCACTTTTTAGGAAAGGATCCAAATGTATCCATCTAAACGACAATATGTATGGGGTTTCCATTCATAGGACTAATGAGCAAATAAAGTGCAGTCTATCACACAAACAGAGTTTAATAATTTCTTCTTCACTCTAGAATTACATGAGTAAAAAACTTAATTCATATAATTCATGATTTGACTTAAGATTATTTCCCCTTATAGCAATATTCCAGTAATATCATAGCAATGGATACGAGAAAGGAGCGCAATCAATTTCATTGGGAAACAAACCCAGGATTTCTGGATGACAAGCAAACACATTAACCACTATGCTATATCACCTCCTCAACCACAATTACAGCAACAATTTTGAACAATGTATATGTTAATCCCCTTCCTGAAACTGCTGGCGGTAGGTGGTGTAGCTTAGTGGTTAAAGCGTTCGCTCATCACGCCGAAGACCCAGGTTCAATTATCCACATGGGTACAATGTGTGAAGACCATTTCTGGTGTTCCCCGCCGTGATATTGCTAAAAAAGTGGCATAAAACAAAACTCTGTTGGGCTTCCAGGGCAGAAAAAGGTGCTCGCCACACATAATCAGTCAGGTCAAACAACCACTCACTGACTGACTGTTGTATGGACATCTCTATTGCCAAACTAGTGGCTGATGACATGAGCAGTGACCCAACTGGTCACGATGACACACAGACAGGTCACACACAATAACCACTTTGTGAGTCACAATATATTGTGTGTGACCTGACTGTGTGTGTCCTTAAGTAGTATACACAATGGGGGTACGGGACCAGGTCCTCCCAAGGGCTCAATTTTATTCAGTATTTCGAACATCAGTGTTTTTTGCTAGAATTTTGCTTGAATTTTGAATTTCGAACATCAGTGTTTTTTGTTAAAAAACACTGATGTTCGAAATTCTGAAGAAAATTGAGCCCTTGGGAGGACCTGGTCCCGTACCCCCATTGTGTATACTACTCCTTATGCTCTGATGAATCATTAGTTTATCTGTCCGCTCTGTACAGAAAGTGTCCGCTCTGTACAGAAAGGGCGGTGGAGTAGCCTAGTGGTCACACAGAAAAACCCAGGTTCGATTCCCCACATGGGTACAATGTGTGAAGCCCATTTCTGGTGTCCCTTGCTGTGATATTGCTGGAATATTGCTAAACGCAGTATAAAACTAAAGTCACTCACTGTACAGGAATGTTCATGATCCTGATATTTCATTTCCTCACAAGCCCATTATGATGGATAGTCCCATGTGATGGATTTCTTAGGCCAGACCAATTTTATTTCTTGTTTTACGGATTTTTGTACTCAGAAAACCTAAAGGCAGGAGGGAAAAATAATAAACAAAATAAAATCATCAGTCAAAGTAATTTTCCTTCGAAATAATAAAAGTATTTTACTTTTGGCAATTTATGAAGTGTACATGGGGTAAAAACAATGAAAAAACATTTTCTTTTAAGTTTACATTTTTGGCCAATAAAAACATTAGGATTTATTTTCTGAGCGATGAAAATTAGTTGGGTTTTTTTTCATATTCTTGAAAAAATACGACCAGCGGATCCGTAAAAGAAGAAATAAAATTGGTCTGGCCTTACAGTGTTGTGTAAAGTGCGGATTGCATGATGCTGGGCATTTTCAACACATGACATATTGCACTGTCAAAGCATATTACTAGCAACCACAACATCATTGTGAAAATAAATGGTCAGATCCAATGTTGACTTGCTTGTTCTCCCTTCAACATGGGAATCTGTCAACAGCTGTGAAGGTTATTCCAATGCCATGTACAAGTTCAGGCTGAGAATGCAGGTTAACTGAACCTTTGTATCAGACCACACAATCTAGCCAAACTGTCACTGAAACTGTTTTGTTTGTTGTTTCGCACTATATTCTAGATATATGGCATTGATCTGTAAATAAGCAAGTCTGGAAAAGACAATCTAGTGATCAACAGCATGAGCTTTGATCTACACAATTTTGATACGATGACATGTGTCAACCATCCTGTTAATCGGCTCTTACGACAAGCATTGTTTGGTGAAGACCAATTCTAACACAGGAAAAATCAGGATCAGAAAATACAGAAATTACCTAAAATATATTTTTATTTGCTTGACTGCGCCTTCCTTGATTTGTTAGAAAAATACAATAAAATTACAAAAATAAATTTTGAAATAATTAATTGTCAGGTGCATTCCATGTAGTAAAGCACATAAACCATATAATATAAACAAGTGGCCAGCTATCAATTTTCTTCACAACTTGTTAACTCTGATTCATAATTGAGAAGGCAAAAATGCATGTTAAACCTGAGAGAGAAGTCTCAATGTGAGACATGCTTAAATGGAAGAACTTGCAGGACACACACCAGAGTGGATTATCTACATATAGTCAACAGAATATATCATACCGACTGCGTGGTACCAACAGAAGTAACAAATTAGAATGTTTGTGTGGTACCAAGAGAAATAACCAATCAGAATGTTTGTGGTACTAACAGAAATAACCAATCAGAACAACTGTGGTACCAATAGAAATACATTATCAAAACAACTGTGGTACTAACAGAAATAACCAATGAGAGTTTTTCTGTGGTACCAAAAGAAATAACCAATTAGAATGTCTGTGTGGTGCCAACAGAAATAACCAATCAGAATGTCTGTGGTGCTAACAGAAATAACTTATCAGAACTGCTGTGTTGTGTCAAGGTAAAATAACCCATCAGAACATCTGTGGTGCCAATAGAAATAACCAATCAGAAAGTCTGTGGTACCAACACAAATAACCAATCAGAAAGCCGGTGGTGCCAACAGAAATAACCAATCAGAAGATCTGTGTTATCAACAGAAATAACCAATCAGAAAGTCTGTGGTGCCAACTGAAATGACCAAACAGAATGGCTGTGCGGACCTATAGAAGTACTTTATCACAAGAACTGTACATAATGCAAGCCTTGATACAATCAAGCTTCAAACATTTGATTTGATATTTACAAAAAAAAACTGGCTCAAAACATGTTAGAAATTGGGAAAATTGGGAAATATACAAAAATGAACTTAGTTAAGCACCCCCTGACATATCTCACAATTGCATGAACCCCGATCTTAGCCCTTTGGAGCATATCTGGAACATGATTGGTCGCCGTGTGCAACAAAAAAGGGATCCTCCTGAACAGAACCTGGCCCAATTGGAAGTTGCTTTACACGAGGAATGACGTAGATTGCCCCTTCAGAGGATCAGGAGGCTGACAGGGAGTATGAGGAGAGGGCTGGCTGGCATACAGTCACAGTGAGGTTACACTTGGTATCGACCTTGAATCATGTAAGACACGTAAAATGACATTCACCAATAAATTCAACATTTAACATTCCAGGGCCATATTTGGACATATATGGTTTTGTATGAAAATCAGTGCTTTTTTAAAATGAACAATTATCATCATAAAATGAACATGGACTCCAATCATTTTGTCAATTTTTATGAGTCAAAGGATCATAGGGTCAGAAAAACGCATGTTATTCCATCATCGTCACCACGAGAAGTTTTATGTACGTGTTGAAAAACCTATCGTTGCGAAAATACAGAGGGTGCTTAATTATGTTCTTTGTGTATATATAAATATCTCTGAAACCATTTCTCTTTTCAGTTTTTATTAGTATACAGTATATACACATTTCATCTGTGAAAATGTAGTGGTAGCGTATATTTATAACACTACAGTCACTGGGATACCAGCTAGAATTTGGTCTCAAAAGTACTGAGTGAGTTTCAGAGTATATCATGCCAGTTTGTACTGGATCCCAGTTGTATGTTGGCAGCTGAATATGGAGGAATGCCCTTGGGTCGTAAACATTCATCTGTTACCACTCTGGCAAAATCTACAACAGGTGTAGCTGATTTTGTATGTAACACTGGGCAATATTCCAGTTGTATGACAGCTGGATGTAAACAAAGAACTTTAGGCCAGACTTTCCAATCAAGTGATTGTTTGTTTTGTTTGTTGTTTAATACCACCCTCAGCAATATTCCAGCTATATGGCGACAGTCTGTAAATAATCCAGTCTGGACCAGACAATCCAGTGATCAAAATCATGAACACTGATTTTGGCATACAATGACACATGTCAACCAAGTCAGCAAGCCTGACCAGCCTATCCTGTGTTACTTGCTTCTTATGACAAGCATGGGTTGCTGACGATCAATTCTAACCCGGATCTTCACAGGTACACAGGTAAATCCAGTGATTGATAGTGTGAATGAAGATCCACACCACCAGATGACATGCCATCAAACAAGTCACAAAGGCTGTCCAACCAATCCATTAAGTCACATCTTACAGCAAGTATATTAACTCCCATATTAAACTGCATTTGATTGATGAATGAAGTGGCCAGCACTGTCAAGTGTATGTAGACATTTGGGCAACAAATCCACATTTTAATTGCCTTAATCCTTTCCAATGTAAAAGGGAGCAGTGAGGTAGTCTAGTGGTTAAAGCATCCACTCATCACACAGAAGACCCAGGTTCAATTCCCCACAGTTCTAGTGTTCCCTGAGGTCAAATTGCTGGAAGCTGGCGTAAAATCATAATCACTCACTCCAACGTAAAAATCCAAACTATTTTTCCAGCTGATATCCCTAGCAAGTATAGTGCAGCATATATCTAGTGAAGAAACTCTACCATGCTTTATCATTATTATATAGAAGGAAGTCTCGGAAGTCCCGCCACTTGTTGCTATCATCATACAGATATGTCATGGATGACTTTAAAGAAGGCTGGAGAGTGTCTCTCTCATACTCAAACAACCAAAGTACTATTCCCCACACAACTGCAGCAAAAATGGGGAAGGGATCCTTCTTAGGCTTGGGGATGTAGCCTCGCTTCACTGCCAGCTTCAACAGGCCGTACAGAATTCTGGACAACAGGTAGAGGTTGATCTGCAAGGAGAAGTAACATTGCATAGATTACATAGGGCTTTAAATAACTTTCGAGAAGGTATGGTTTGACAGAGGGTGACATTTGTTTGTTGTTTAACCCTACTCTAGCAATATTCCAGCTATGTGGCCATGGCCTGTAAACAATCGAGTCTGGCATCATCTGCATTGATCTATGCAACATGTTTGTTTGGTTTGTTGTTTAATGCTGCACTCAGCAATATTCCAGCTATAATGCGGCGATCTGTAAATAATCTAGTCTGGAACAGACATTCCCATGATCAACAGCATGAGCATCAATCTACGCAATCGGGAACCGATGACATGTGTCAACCTTGTCAGAAAATCTGACCATCTGATCCTGTTACCTTGTCTCTTATATCAAGCATGGTTACTGAGGACCAGTTTTACCCAGGATTTTCATAGAGTACTGCTTAAAGTAACATTCCAGTGAAAATACGCCGGGACAAAACAGGATTTGCTTTCATTTTACCCAACTGGGAAAACATACCAGGACTTGTTGACCATTGTACAACCCAAAGCCCCTATTCTAGCAACATCACAGTGTGTTACTTAGTTCTGTCAGCAAAGCCCAAAGTGACACACTGGATCCTGGCACATCTAAAGGATGCAACTCTGCAAGGCAAATACCAGTCTTTGTTCAATGGACCATATGTGCCTGCGCAAGGAGAAAATTGGTTGGTTGGTTTGTTATTTAATGCAGTTCTCCGCAATATATCAGCTATATGGCTGCAGTGTGTAAATAATAGAGTCTGGACCAGACATATAACATAATTTATGTTATATTTGGGATTACACTTTCTTTGTAAAGTACAAATTCAGATAATCATCCAGACCAGACAATCCAATGATCAACAGCATGAGCATCGATCTATACAGTTGGGATACAGTGACATATTTCAACCGAATCAGTGAGTCTGACCACCTGATCCCGTTAATTGCCTCTTACAACATGATTGGTTGCTGAAGACCAATTCTAACCCAGATCTTCATGAGACGAAAGGAGAAAACATAGTGACAGATTGACTGAGGGCTTATAACAGGCTTAATGATGTCCAGGTATATCATGGCTTATTGCCTTAATGTGAAAGGCTGTGATTTCAAACATTCAATCCTTATGCTGACAACCTTTTGTCATTACAAAGGTGATGCTGGCTTTAACCTATAAATGCAGTTATGGGTGGACAATACACATAACAGACAAATATTGTTTTGTTTGATAAACATCATTCTTTATTTACAAAGAATATGTTTGTCTTTCATGGAAAGGATAACGACAACATCGTACATAAACACTCCTGTTTCATAAGGCTAATGAACCCTTACATGGAACAGTGCAAACCCCTACATGTTCTCTGACATACCATCTGTGACAAGTTACAGGAGTATACACCCCTCAAGGCTAGATTCGTGCTCATCGTCCAACCAGGAATTGATAACACGTCATTGAGGTGAAGCAAAGAAATCCATTACGTCAACAGTTTAGACGTTGGAACAAACATCTACTGCCAAGACGGAAGTTCCAATAGAAATCAAGAAAGCGTTTTGGCAAGCTTAGCAAGAATGTAAATTTCAAGTGAAGCATTATCCCGAAGCAAGGTCTTCAAGCCTCAACAGCCTCGCCAGTTATGACGCAAACATGGTCCATTCAATTTTTCCATCTTTCATCTTCTGTAAACAGTTTATTTTTGAGCTGCAGGTTGGCTCTCTGTGTGCCCAGTAGCACCTTGTCTCTTGGGTAGTTGTATCTTTGTGTTATTGAGATAAATAGGCTGGTCCTGGGTTTGTGATTGAAATTTGAATTACGCTAAACTGGTAAGATACATTTAATTCAACGACTTCAAATTAACTTGACAGCGACCCAAAAGAAAGGAAGTGCTTCCTGATTGCAAGAAAATACTACATCAGTGCAGGAGGTGCAGCTTCAAAGTTGTAAAATGTCAGAATCGGTTGCTTCCATAGCAACCATACCTCTTGAACTAAAAAAATAAATTAATTTCCGCCATTGGAAAACTGTGAGCAAATGAAAAGTTCAGCTTTTACCAGGGGAAGAGATGTTTTATGGTAGGAGAAATGTATTTTGAAAGAATTTAAGGGCATCTGATCCAAAATAATTTTTCAGTATGATAAATACTCGCCACATCCTCAGCTCATATTGACAAATTACAAAAATAAATCAATAAAAATATATACCCTTCTTGTCTACAGTTGGGATTCAAGCTGAGATTAAAGGCCTGTAGCAAATGCTAGGCTGTTGATTGCATATCATTGTATCCCAATTGCTGGACAAGTGCTTGTGATGTAAATCACATGATTGCCTGGTCCAGACTTTATCATTTACAGAGTGCCATCACATTGCTGGAATTATGCTGAGTGCAGTGCTAAACAACTACATGTATAGACAAACAAAGCAAAATTGTTTCAAAAGGGGTATTTCCCCTTCCTACATGTCATGTTTAAGTGTCTTCTACTCTCTGGCAGGCTGGTGGGGTTGCCTAGTGGTTAAAGTATTCGCTTGTCAAGACCCAGGTTCGATTCCCCACAATGGGTACAATGTGTGCAGCCCATTTCTGGTGTCCCTGCCTTGAAATTGCTGGAATATTGCTAAAAGCAGCGTAAACCCATACTCACTCACTCACTCTGGAGGATTTGAAATCTGTTCCTGAAGGCGTAAAACTCTCTGTTCCATAAACCATTGTAAAAACAACACAAGACAAAATTAATCCATGTTCTCTAGCTGAAGTACTTATAAACTATCCCATCTTGCATCCATACTAAACATTTAGACAGCTTGCAAGGGACAAACAAATTACAAAGAAAGATAACAATTTTAATTACCATTTGAACAACTTCTTCTAACCAGATAGAAAATCACCTTACAACCAACTTGGCAATTAATAGCTCTTCTTGCCTTTGTTCTGTTGGTTCAGTTTAGTCTACAGTGCAAATCAAATTTAGACTTCGTCTCAATTGGCCCCTGTTTGTAGAAAGGGGCTAATGGTGGGTATTTCTGCAGCTAAACAAGTACCCCCAGGCATACCCCAACTGTTGGCTAGAAGACACTTCTGTTATGTTTGAACTCAGCAAAGTTTACATAAGATGAAAGCGGAGAACAATAAAAAGCTGCCACTCATTGCAGTTGTGGCTTCTTGGAGTGCATCTGTAATGACTTTCCAGTGGTTCCACCAGCTTGCTAACAATCATTTCACACTTGTGGCCCACACACTGCTGCCAAAGCCAATGCTTGTACTCCATAAGCCTGGATATTGTGAAGTCAAGAATATATGACAGGTAGCCACACTGATGATTCATCCTAAAGGTCAATGGGTTCAATCACTGTTCATCCTAGAGGTCAATGGTTTTCAATCACTGTTCATCCTAGAGGTCAATGGGTTCAATCATTGTTCATCCTAAAGGTCAATGGGGTTCAATCACTGTTCATCCTAAAGATCAATGGGTTCAATCACTGTTCATCCTAAAGGTCAATGGGTTCAATCACTGTTCATCCTAAAGGTCAATGGGTTCAATCACTGTTCATCCTAGAGGTCAATGGCTTTTAATCATTGTTCATCCTAAAGGTCAATGGGTTCAATCACTGTTCATCCTAGAGGTCAATGGCTTTTAATCACTGTTCATCCTAAAGGTCAATGGGTTCAATCACTGTTCATCCTAAAGGTCAATGGGTTCAATCACTGTTCATCCTATAGTCTGTTTGCAGTGAAAACGTACCGATGAATTTCACTCTAAACAAAAAAGTGAATCGATTAAAGCGAAATTAAGATTGCGAATCCTCATAATTTTACCTTGCCAATTGAACATTCAAATCTCAGAATTTTAATAGCGATTTGAATCTATGATCGTTTGTAAAACAACTTTTATCCTAAGTTGAATAAAATTCTGAGATTTTAATGTTCATTTGGCAAGGTAAAATTATGAGGATTCGCAATCTTAATTTCACTTAATTTGATTTACTTTTTTGTTTAAAGTGAAATTCATCGGTACGATTTCACTGCAAACAGACTATAGAGGTCAATGGCTTTTAATCACTGTTCATCCTAAAGGTCAATGGGGTTAAATCACTGTTCATCCTAGATCCTGAACTATTACAAAATGCCTCTCTAAATGTAGCTAATAGGATATGGTCAAGCAAAGATACAGAATTGTTTAGTGACTTGGATTTAAGTTAGAAAAAAATGATTTATTAATGAAGATGCTTAACAACTTTTGACATGTAGATTGTGTTCACAAATCCTAGATACCAGTTGATCATGATCACTGGTTTGTCAGCAATACATCTGTGTAGTGTTTCTTGAATGTGGTCATTATCTCTACACATCGGGGGGGGGAGGAGGGATGTAGTAGTGTTTCAGTCGTGTCCACATCCTCTTGGAAACATACTAATCATGTTGATGCATAAAAAGCATCATCACTGATGACATGTTTTCCACAAAAATAACACATAACTGACTCATATCTATCTTACAAGTGTAAAACGTTTCCTGAAATATGTGCCAGCTTGTATGAACTGCACTCCCAGGCCCTTTATTTTCTGAAAAACCTAAACATGCACTTCACCGAATTTCTCTTTAATACAGAATGCAGAGCCCATATCCTCATTCATGTATTACTCCTATACTCAGTGCAAATGATACAAAACCTGCAATACAAAATGTCAGCATACCAAGCACCAGTTGCAAAGTTTCTAAAAACATCCCTGCTCACTCCAAGTTATCTAAGACAAGGCTCCGTCTAACAGAGGATCTCGGTTCTGGATAACGTCAGCACCCCAGACACATCTCGGTGTATGGTGATAAAATATGGATGGTAAAGACAAGGATTTATCATTTTTTCTATTCCTAAGAGGGGTACCTTTCATCATGAAAAAATATCTTCTCACAATCAGGAATTCTAATCAGCTGGGAACACCCAATCAATCATTCTGCGACTCTGGTTTGGGAAAGCATTTTAAGGAGTATAACGAA